TGTATAAGTTGCTGAGATTTGATGAGTGTTTCGCTAAATCTCAGCCATTTTAGGTGGCTTCACATTCTTTAATTAAACTAATTAGCAAGTTATAATCATAGAAACCCCAATGAAAACACTTCTCAGAGTATTGTTACTGAACAGTTTGTTTCACTTTCAAAATCATTCTAACCGTTTATACTCTAATATGTGAAAGTTTGGTACAATTTTGCTAGGCAGTTTTTGTGTTACATGAGGTCTTAATTTACTCGTATACGTAAGCAAAATTCACTAATTTTAACATGTCATCTCAATGTAAATTTGGTTTCACTGAAAGTAGATCAAAGATCTCGCCACCAAAATACTTGTGTATACCTGTTGTATAAGTTGCTGAGATTTCATGAGTGTTTGACTAAATCTCAGCCATTTAAGGTGGCTTGACATTGTTTTACTAAACCAACTAGCAAGTTAATCATCAAAAACCCAATGAAAACACTTCTCAAAGGCTGACTATTGTTACTAAACAGTTTGTTTCACTTTTAAAATCATTCTGAGCATTTATACTCTAATATGTGAAAGTTTGGTACAATTTTGTTAGGCAGTTTTTGTGTTAGCATGAGTTTCTCAGCTGAGATCTTACTTTACTCGTATACGTAAGCAAAATTCACTAATTTTAACATGTCATCTCAATGTGAATTCACTGAAAGTAGATGAATGATCTCGCCACCAAAATACTTGTCTATATCTGTTGTATAAGTTGCTGAGATTTGATGAGTGTTTCGCTAAATCTCAGCCATTTTAGGTGGCTTAACATTCTTTAATTAAACTAATTAGCAAGTTATAATCATAAAAAACCCCAATGAAAACACTTCTCAAAGGCTGAGTATTGTTATACTAAACAGTTTGTTTCAGTTTCAAAATGATTCTAAGCATTTATACTCTAATATGTGAAAGTTTGGTACAATTTTGTTAGGCAGTTTTTGTGTTAGCATGAGTTTCTCAGCTGAGGTCTCACTTTACTCTACTTAAGCAAAATGAACTAATTTTAACATGTCAGCTCAATATAAATTTGGTTTCACTGAAAGTAGATCAAATACTAGCCACCAAAATACTTGTGTATACCTGTTCTATAAGTTGCTGAGATTTCTTGAGTGTTTGACTAAATCTTGAGGCATTCAAGGTGGCTTACTTGAATGATTTACTAAACTAATCAGTAACTTATAATCATAATAAACCAATGAAAACACTTCTCAAAGGCTGAGTATTGTTACTAAACAGTTTGTTACAGTAAACTAATTAGCAACTTATAATCATGATAAACCAATGAAAGCACATCTCAGAGGCTGAGTATTGTTACTAAACTGTTTGTTTCAGTTTTAAAATCATTCTGTGCATTTATACTCTAATATGTGAAAGTTTGGTATGATTTTGTTAGGCAGTTTTTGTGTTAGCATGAGTTTCTCAGCTGAGGTCTTACTTTACTCTATACTTAAGCAAAATTCACTAATTTTAACATGTCATCTGAATATAAATTTTGTTTCACTGAAAGTACTGTAGATCAAATATCTAGCCACCAAAATGCTTGTGTATACCTGTTCTATAAGTTGCTGAGATTTCATGAGTATTTGACTACAGTAAATCTCAGCCATTCAAGGCGGCTTGATGTTGATTTACTAAACTAATCAGCAACTTATAATCATAATAAACCAACGAAAACACTTCCCAAAGGCTGAGTATTGTTACTAAACAGTTTGTTACAGTAAACTAATTAGCAACTTATAATCATGATAAACCAATGAAACCACTTCTCAAAGGCTGAGTATTGTTACTACAAACAGTTTGTTTCAGTTCTAAAATCATTCTGTGCATTTATACTCTAATATGTGAAAGTTTGGTATGATTTTGTTAGGCAGTTTTTGTGTTAACATGAGTTTCTCAGCTGAGGTCTCGCTTTACTCTACTTAAGCAAAATTCACTAATTTTAACATGTCATCTGAATATAAATTTAGTTTCACTGGAAGTACTGTTGATCAAAGATATACAGTAGCGACCAAAATACTTGTCTACACATACTGTACGTGTTGTATAAGTTGCTGAGATTTCGTGAGTGTTTGACTAAATCTCAGCTATTTAAGTTGGCTTGACATTGCTTTACTAAACTAATTAACAAGTTATAATCGTAAAAAACTCCAATGAAACCACTTCTCAAAGGCTGACTATTGTTTCTAAACAGTTTGTTTTACTATTAAAATCATTCTAAACATTCATGCTCTAATACTTTGTATTTGAAAGTTTGGTACAATTTTACTCAGTGTAACACCAGGTAGTTTGCAGTGCTTTGAAATACTGCAGCATTTGTTAGAGTAAAATATTGTGAGCTGCCAACTTTACAGTGAAATCGTAATTATCTTACTTCTATATCATATTTTATCTGATGCTGTTACTAAAAAGCTTACAGTACTGTTGCATGCCTGTCAAAACAGGGTATCCTACATGTAGGTAGTGGCGCTACCTGGGCACAGCTTGGTTACACAAGGGCCCACGCTAAAATCCATTGCAAGTACAGTAATAAAATGATTAATGTTTACTCTTAAATAATAATTTCAAGTTAGTATAATAGATTATTAGTATGGTACTTTGTAAGCTGTATTTGAATTAATCCTTGGATATTCACAATGCCTTGAGATATGTGTGTATGTCTGTGTATGTTTATGTGTACATTATGTATGACGTATGTGTGTATGCAAGAGTAATGTTAATATCCAATTTATACTTTTCAGTTCATTGGAGTGCAAATGGAGCCTGGATGTGTTGCAGAAGAGATGGGGTGTATGAACAGTGGAAATGGTCGAGAAGAGACGGACGGTGGAAATGGCCAAAAAGAGATGGAATGTATGGATGGTGGAAATGGTCGAGAAGAAATGGATGGTGGAAATGGTGAAGAAGAGGTGGATGCTGTGCATGGTGGAAACGGTGGAAAGACGGGGGGGAAATGCCGTAGAGCAAAACACAAGTGCCCATACACTGCTTGCAATGCCAGTGTCATCCACCTTCCCAGGCACATGAAGCAGTTGCATGGATGGAATAAAACTGACTCGTCTGGTGTTCTAGGAACATTTGACTTGCGGAAAGGAAAGCCATCGGTCAAGAAGAGAGAACACCCGAGGAAAGTATGCCCAAAAATTGAATGTGGTGCCATTGTTAGGCGGATACATAACCATCTTGCCCAAGTGCACAAAATTAAAAGAGGAAGTCCTCAATACTTGAAGTTGGTGGAGAAGGCTGAAAACTATTTACCTCCAGAAGATAACATCAGTTCCTCAGACGAATCTTTGGTGGACAGCAGTGACTACGACCAGTTAGGAACATTGCGGAATATGAAGAACCCAAGCTCATCGAGAAATGTTTACGAATCTGTGTACGACAGCGAAGATTCTGCAGACTATAAAAGATTCCTGAATTCTGTTGTAAAGAGCGGTGACAAGAAATGTGATAAAGATGATGATAATAGGAGTCATGATGAGGGTAAATATGGTGGTGATGGGGATAGTGATGATGAAGATGATCTCATTATCCCAGCACCTGTGCACCTTGAACCTCTGTCCTCACCACCAACCTCGCCGAAACCCCTCAATCCCTCCCCTGATTTATTTTCCTCTCCTGACTCACTTCCTGACCTTCCACCACGGTCGAATCATCCGAGTGAACCATCCTCTGCTTCTCCCGTAGTTCAGCCTATCTCTCCCCGGACACCTGATTCCCTTGATCCTAAGAATGCTAGAGTTATAACGTGTACAACCCCTCCCCGGCAACCATCATTGTCCCCCAAATCCCCGGAGTGTATTGTTGTGGATGAAATTGAAGATCCTGAGGTCAAGCGTGATCGTGAGAACCGTGAAGAGTCGTTGAGAGTTTTACGCTCTGTGTTTCACAAAGCTGAAGCACTAGCATTCAAATGTAGGTGAACCATGCATTGTTTTTATTATTTATAATCCGCGAACCGAGTTAAAATCTACGCTATCATGGCATATTGGTCCGGTTGTATAAATCTCTTAACTGCTTTTGAACTTTTTAACTACCCGATTGTGGTTAAAACGTAGTTAATTTTAATCACATAGTTAATTCGGTTGTATAAAAAAGTAGTTAGCATATTAAAATTGCAGTTAAAACGTGAGTTAAAGTTAACTCTGCCTTAGGGCATTGTTAACTCTCCAAAACGTAGTGAATAACTATATTTGGCAAGATAAGCAACGCTTGCCAAGAAATTTAGTCGTTATCTACCCCCAGGATGGTTTATCTGATGCTTGTAAACTTTTAAAACGTTGATGCTTGTGATGTTACTAAAACGTACTTATTTTTTGTCGAAAACGGAATATGTTTTGCATCGAAATAGTTGTCGATGCGGAAGAGCGATCCATAACAAAAGTTAATCGACTCTATATTTTCACCGACAAGTTGCACTTCGACACAATTAAGGTTTTTTCAAGATAAAGGAAAATAAACCTACAGTAAGGATAGTAAAATAGTTTGATATTTGGTGCAGCTTTGGCCTTTTCAGGCATTGCAGCTACTTGTATATACTGTATGCATGGAATGGACCCACAATAAATTCTACTTTTTTGGTAGTAATGCCAAATTATTACAACATTTTACACTGTAATAAAAAAATACTAAAATTCATATTTTCCCATAAAATTTAGGGTCATTAGCAGAAGAAGGCGAAGGGGAAGGCAGCCAAACCTCGTCATCTTCAACTGGCTTTGTTCCTCCATCGTCTCGCTCCAGAGGTGGACAAGAAAGACTAATCACTGACAGTGAGCTTGTTCAGTTTAGAGAGTTGTTTGCTGCTTACATAAATTCCACGAAGCCGATCACAACAAAAACTGCCATATCGATGTTGAAAGGCAATTCGAATTTAAGGCATCTTGTCAAGAAATGTACCCCGCAACAGATTTATGACAAGCTGAGGACGGAAAGAAAAATTGCCCTAAAGTCAAAGGGCCATAGGTGACATTTTTAAACTACTGTATGACATTTTGAATACAGTTATTATTTGAACAATGACATTTTCAAGATCAGGACATGTTACACGAGGCAATGTTTGCTGCAACTTTTAACGCAATATTGGAAAAGGGAAACGCGGGGCATATTTACAGTAGTACTTCAGTACGTACATTTCGACGTAACACGGTTCTGTGCCGAAATTGCATTGCAAGTTGCAGCAAAAATTGCTCTGTGTAACATGGCCTTTAGGGATAACATAGTTTATGATTTAGGGAAAAGGTTTACTGCATGTATGCATTCGTATTATAAAAATTAAAGCCAGCATAAAATTTTTAAGAGAGGTATATTTAAAAAAAATTAATTGATACATACAGTTACCCTGCGAGCAGAGCCTTCTTTTCGTTTCTCTTGCTCAGGGAGAGGAAGGAAGAAATAAGGCTCTGCAGTATTCACGTTATGCTTCGTCCAAAATTCTGGACGAAGCAAACCGACCAAGGGAAACGAAAATAAGGTTCTGCTCACAGGGTAACATACAGTATGTCCAAAGGCCGATTAACTGTATATGATACAATTTGTTATGCACAATTGTCATGTTCGTGTACTGTATGTGATAAAGTTGAACAATAGGTCAGTATTAGTCATCGAGTTTATAATTGGTTAAACAAGGTTAATTTCAGATGTTTAACTTGATTTCATATACACCAAAATGACAATTGTATCCAACAAGCTGTATCTTGTAAATCGACCGAAACATTTCATTGTAATTACAACATCTTCAGAGAATGAAGTAATTACAGTCACAATATTGCACAGGTTTGAAACTTAACCTAGAAACTAATCAACTGATATTCAAAACGAAAGAACGAATATATACAATATATGGTTTACAACAGTTAATATTCAACTATTTAAGGTGAATATTGAAAGAGGTATTACAATTAACAAATACAATGGGGCAGATCCTACAGTACACTGTACATGTACTGTATATTGCCATGCGGTTGGAGTTTTGAGATCATCAACAAGTGATAATCATTAGTTGTAATGACAAACGTCATTTCATTGTATCCCACAATGACTTTGAAATATAAATTATGTCATATGCATGTAAATATGAAACTGAGCTGATCCTTCGTCTTCAAGAAGCTCTTATGATCTCAAAACTCCGACTGTCTTTAAATGTTAACATTGTATTGGTCCATTGTATTTGTTTTAATACCTCTTACAATATTTATTTTAGTTATTTAGTTTGATATTAACTTTTGTACCCATATATTTGTATAATATCTTATTGGTTGATAAGTTCTACATTAAGTTTAAAAACCTGTGTAATTACTTTGATATTGTAATTAGTCTCTGAAGATGTTGTGGTTATGACAAAACGTTTACGTTGGATTTTAATTTTTATAAGAGCTGTGCTGTTTTCACATGCAATTTAGGCCAGGCAATTTATAAAGAACATCTGATTTACGGGAAGCTATACTGCAAATATCAAACTACAGTACTGTACAGTACGTATGCACTAAAACTGATTTACTTTTTTATTAATTAAAAGGGTTTTACTTTCTAGAGTAAAATAATAGCACAAAACTGTAATGTACAGCACATAATAAGCATTGGAATATGTATTGGGATTTTCATTGAAAGGGTTTCTACATTTTAGAGTAAAATAATATATTGGAGAACTCTCTAATGCCTTTATAAACACATATGTATACTGTATATAGGTTTGCCTATAGGTTTCTTAAAAGAGTTTTTATAGGAAACCTACAGAACTTCTACACAATAGGATTAAACACTTGTATAAATGGTTAAATTCTACTACAGGTAAGTCAGGACTTAAGAAGAACAGGGATTCAGACAATAAGATGTGACTTAGTAGAATTTAACCAGTATATGAGTGTTTTTGCGTCTTATGTAAGACGCGGTCTATTTTCCTCCGCATAAATGGCCTTAATCTGTATAGGGAATTGGAACATTTCCTATGGAATCATATGGGCAAACCTCATGGAAACACCTTCAAATATCACGACAGGATTTTATAGAAAAACTAGATAATTATTTGGCAAATTATTATTAAACATTTGTTCAGGAAAAACTCAAACCTTTAAATTTTGTCAGTCGATCACAGATAAATTCATACAAAAAACTCCTTTAACATACTGTAATATCAATATTACAGTTATTTATATTTTCAACAGAACAATAAACACAGATATACAATAAATAAATACAAGCTTATAAATATAAAAACACAGCTTTTTATCCATTTAAAACCAATGTTCAGTCTCAATGTTTACACAGTTAACCTTCTTGGCTCTGTCAGTATTTAACAGCTTGGTGATCGCTGCCTTTATTTTGGTTTCATCTACTTGTGTTCCAGTCTATATAGAAGCTGCAACGGAAAAGCAAACATTATATTTTATTAAAGAGACAAGTTATACATGCAACATCTTGCATGACAGATGAAGCACTTTCATACAACTGAATACACATAACCGTACACCACCATGCTTTTTTATGCATACCAACAAAGCATATGGTGACACCTTTTTTCATGCCTTTTTCTGACTTCCAAACAGTAGCTGGACACTGGCAACTGTGTACAGTAAGCTATTCCTTATGTAAATAATATCTCTGGTATGGTATAGCCATGTGTTTTACTATAGATTCTACATGGTAGCCAGCTGTTTTCATTCAAATCAGTTTCAAAATTATTGAACTTATTAAAATTCAAAACTGCTGGCTGCCATAAGAAATCTATAGTAAAACACCTACTAATTGCAGGCTAATGCAGTCTAATGAAAGATAATGCAATGTATTAGACTGCATTAGCATGCATTAAACTGTATTACACTTCATAAGACTGCAGTATTGCCCTGCAGTTCATTACACTGAATCGTTAGATTACAATTACACTGCATTAGCATGTATTAGACTACTTTACAGACTGCATTAGACTACTTTACAGACTGCATTAGACTGCCTTACATTGCATTAGCTGCTAATGCAGTCTAATACATGCTAAATAAATGCATTAAACAAGTATGGGTAAATATTAATTTTTTTTGCATTTCACTCGAATGAATAGGACCACAAGTTTGATTCCTGTCAGGGACCTGTAGTTGCATTTTCAAACAAGTTGTTACAAGTCTGCATGTTTGCAAGCCGTCGACAAGTTTTGTGTTCGCACTGCTTGTTCCCAGTTGTTGTAACAAGATTTTATTATCAGACTTGTTACAAAATTGTTCTAAGAAGTTTGTTACAGTCGTGATATAACATGCAAGAATGTTATGAGATTGATGACACAAGCTAGTAACAATATTGTTGTATCATGACTGTATTGGACTTGTTGGAACAACCTTGCAACAAGTCTGATTATAATATCAACAAGCTTGTTACAAGTTGTAGCAGACTTGTTGGAGGGACAAGCTTGCAATAAGTCTGATTATAATATCAACAAGCTTGTTACAAGTTGTTAACAGCTTGTTCCAAACTTGTTGACAACTTGGGACAAGCAGTGCGAACACAACTTGTTGGCAGACTTGCTAGTTAATTGTATATAAATCTACTCTGCAATTCCATCTATAAAACTTGTCAACTATTCATTTAATTTTTACCCATATCTAATTAACATGGCAGTACCATATACAGTATATATAAGAAGAGACAAACTTTGTATACTTCATAAGATTTATTAACAGTACAAACTAGTTTTGTATGGTAGGCTATGCCCACCACACTTGATGTGTGTGGCCGGCATAGCCTACCCATACAAAACAAATTTGTAGTGCTAATCAATCTTATGAAGTAAACAAAGTTTGCTGTGTTGTTGTAATGTACTCGGGTGAATAAGATGCTTGTGATGTTACTTTATGCCTGGCCATGGTGAGAATAGAACATACGGTGGGAATCGAACCTAGTATTCCAAAGGTCATACAGTAGGTTCGATTCTCACTGTGGCCAGGCATATTTTTCAAGCCTGCCCGGTGTGGATATACACTCAGAGTAACATCATATTCACCTGAGGACGTACATTACACCAACAGAAAAAATGATGATTATTAGATTACATTGGTATCAAAGGAGCTAGATTCTGTTCTGAAATATCACATACTGGTACTCAAAACGACCTGACCATGCATGTAGCTCAGTTGGCAGAGCTTTCAGTTTGGGCTATAGTATTCCAAAGCTGGTAGGTTCGATTCCCACCGTGGACAGGCATATTTTTCAAGCCTGCCCGGTGTGGATACACACTCAGAGTAACATCACACAAGCATCTTATTCACCTGAGTACATTACAACAACACAGCAAATATCATGATTATTAGATTACACTGATATCGAAGGAACTAGACTTAATTTCCGAAATATCACATACTCGGACCCAACCTGACCGTGTAGCTCAGTTGCCAGAGCATTGGGCTTGGTATTCCAAAGGTCGTAGCTTCGACACCCACCGTGGCCAGGCATATTTATCAAGCCTGCCTGGTGTGGATATACACTTAGAGTAACATCACAAGCATCATAAACAAAGTTTGTCTTTTCTTACTAATCCTCTCTGCTTCGATATTGAGCACCTTATTCATAAGATTTTAACTACATTTATATTAGATCATATATAAACTTGACAGAGACAGAATATGAAACTTGTGGTGATGCACTCTTCTTTTATCCGGTAAAGCTGAAACATTATCACAAGCTAGTGCACAATGCATCAGTGCTTTTATTAAAAAAACATTTACCAGGTGAATGAAAATGCAAATTAAAAATACCAGTCAGGCATAATTAATACTTGAAGTATTCTTTACAACTGCCAACACACACACAGTATTAATTTTGCTTTTTAATACAGTAAAATACAGTGCTCATGCATAAAGCAAATATGCTGTTTTAACACCACCTTCAACTCAGTTGTACACCTTCAAGGACAAATTACAAATATCATAGAAAAAGCAACAAACTTCTTGTTTACTTACCATGAACTCACTTCTTAGAAAATAGCTTTCCAATATAATAAATTCTTTCGTTTTACATCTCCTTGAGTCATGATCAAGGTCTATGAGGTTTCAATTCAATCCCATATTTTATATCCCATGGAACAAATCCATTTCTACTCAAATGAATCAATATATTATCGATTTACCACCTTGCTACAAGAAACACTCGTATTTGATATGATTATTAAAGCAAAATAGTTGAAAATACAAAGACATTAGACACTAACATGTAATATATTATTTTCATTCCACTGAATAATGACAATTTCGGCCTGCCATTTTGTTTCCAGCGGCTAGGTTACACAAGGGTACAGCTAGGTTACACTAGGGCACAGCTAGGTTACACTAGGGCACACACTGAGTTACACAAGGGCACATTTGCCCTAGTGTAACTTGATAGGTTACACTAGGGCACAGCTAGGTTACACTAGGGCACACGCTAAGTTACAATAGGGCACGTTGCCCTAGTGTAACTTGATAGGTTACACTAGGGCACAGCTAGGTTACACTAGGGCACACGCTAAGTTACAATAGGGCACGTCAATATGTCAGTCAGTCAGTCAGTCAGTCAGTCAGTCAGTCAGTCAGTCAGTCAGTCATTAGATTGTCGATACTGCCCTAGCGTAACCAAAACTTTGGGAAGCTGTAATTTTTTTTCTATAAACGACTAGCCTTTTATATTTGAGGGACTGCTTTGAAATATGATGAATTATGCCTGTTTTGCGCGGCAGGGTCTTGCGCAAAATCGTTTCCGTGCAATTTAAGTGCAATGAAGCCAGAAGTTACACTGGGGCCACTCGTCGTGTAAACCTTCATTTTTTAGTGGATTTTCACCAGAGTTCGACAGATTTGGGTTTGACATGAACTGCATACGTCTACTAATAACCAGCTCTTTCCATACACTTCGGTTCAGGAGTTATGAAACGAAATATAATGCCGTAAACTCTTACAGTCTTAACTTGACTTGGTTGTCTAAAATGAACGCTCGGAAACGCTGCGCAAATTTTGTTGAAAGTAATATTTAAATAACTTCCTCAATTTTCATTGAAATGACCTCATTTTTTAGTTGCAAATGCGCTTCCACCCGTAGAACCACTACACTGAAGCTCAGAATTTTACTACAAAGCGTGTTGATTTTATTTTAGCTTTTGTGCAAAATTGTCGAGTTACATTAGGGCACATGTGCCCTAATGTAACCGAAAACATGCCCTTGTGTAACCTCAAAATTTTTAACTTTAATTCTTGTCTAAAAGAAGGGCTTTTCACAGGCTAGGGCGGTTATATGTGCTTAGGCACATCAAAAGCTAGCTTGCAAACGCAAAACGGACCTTATTTTGTGCAAATTTCTAATGCGACTTATTTTGCCTTTTTTGCAGATTATAAAGGTTCAACTTTTTTAAAAAACAGTATAAACTATTACAAGAGGGTCTTTTGAAACATTTTATTGAAAAAAAAGTTTGCACGAGAACAAGTAATTATTTTTCCAAGATTTTTGAAGTATACCCCTCACTAAAAAAATTACTACCAACATAACCAGGGGGTAGCGCGGCGCTTGCAAACGTAGAGGGGGTAGTATAAAGAGTATCATTTCCGTACACGTGTGCGACTTGGTTGTTGTCTGGAGAAGCAAAGTGACATTGGAAAGAGAAAAAAATTGTATTTGTGGATATAAAGGTGAGTTAAATATCCTTGGAATATGTATGTAATTGTATGCGGCCAGTACAAGTAGAATTAGCATTTAAATTTATGTGTATTTTGTTTATTGACGCGAATGTTAATATTTACATATCGCGTGAACGTCATTTACATATTTTGGGTTGATTTTTTGCGAGGATTTTTTCAGTTTATAGAACGCAATTTATAGAACAAGATCAAAGTATTCGTCAAATTCAATCGCATATATTCATATTGTTTCGAATAATACGGTATTTACAGAAATATTTCGGCAAAACCTTTTGTATTTGTATTGAAACATTTACAACATTGCCCAAATCGGTAAATCTCGTTCTACAGAATACACAAGACCAATAATTTAGCTTTGTGAATATCTAAGCTTCTAATTTACAGCTCCAAATACTGCTTAGCCCATT